TAACTGGATTCCACCTTTTGGGTCCCCTTCTTCCTCCGGGAGAAGTCTTTTCTTCTGTCCTTTAATAAATTTCTAATTTCTACTCTGGCCTTGCCTCGGCGTGCTTCTTTGGTGTTATTCTTCAACATCGGGGAGCAAGAACTCGTCACCGGTCAACAGCGGTAACACTTCAAGGGAGAATGCGGGTGGTCTCAGAGCCAGAAGCAGCCCTGCCTTGGGCAGGGGTTCCAATATTTATAAAAGGGCTGTATCAGGGGCTGGGCTGGAGGTGAGTCGGGAAGGAGCTGCACAATTTTCTACCACTTTTCCTGCACTTGTGTATTTCCCTCATTTTACAGGGGCACAGGCCAAGGGCGTGGGTCCAGATTTGGGACCATCTTTCCTGCCTCTGGTGGCTGGATTCCGCATTTCAATGGTTTGAAGGTGTGTCCCTCTAGATGGCAGGTCTCTCTCCTTATCCTAAATCTCTATCTCAGTCCTGACTATTAATCCATCCAAGTTTCCCAGTCTTTCCTGCAGCAAGTTCCTGATGTGATCATTTTAAAGTGGGGCCCTCTAGTCACCAGACCCCAAGCAAAACAATCCCCACGACTCCCGTTCACGTGGCCTGCATCCCTGTGAGGCAGCTGGGGATGCGCTGGGGTGAGCTCAGGGTACAGCACCTGCCTGGCATGTATGAGGTCCCAGGGGCCCAGGCCCCAGAAATGCAAAAAAAAAAAAATTAGGGAAAAATAAATAAAATCATCCCCTAACAAAGAGGGCACCCCGGGAGTCCTTGTCTAGAACATAATGAATGGAAACAAAACCCCAAACTAAGTCCTGGGGAGGGTTCAGGCAGGTCCTGGCTGCTTAGAGTTCCCACTACGCGATTTGTATTTGAATCTACTCATTTCTAAGCATTATAAGATTAGGTTCTTGTAGGGACAAATGAGGCAAGGCACCAAAGATACTGTTACCGCTGTTGACTGGTGAGGAGGCCTTGCTTCCCCAATGTTGAAGATTAACACCAGAGAAGCATGGTCAGAAGCAAGGTCAGAGTGGAAAATTAGAAGTTTATTAAAGGACAGCAGAAATGACTTCTCCTGGAGGAAGAAGGGGACCCAAGAGGTGGAATTCCTTGAAGGGTGAATGTGTTCCCCTTTTTATAGTTTTAGGTGATGCAATGTAGGTGGGAAGGTCCCAAGGGTTGGGACACAGGTGGGCCAAAGAAGTAACCTGGGCACTTCTGAGTCAAGTTTGCTSTTCATTAACATTTCTTTGGGATGGGCTGTCTCCAAATCTGTTGGAGGCTGTTTCCTGGGCTTCATTAACATTCCAAGAGTTGCTCAACTTTTCCGGAAATTCATTCTCAACACGGCCTCCATTTTAGATTTCACTGGATTTGAGACCCGATTTACCTAACTACACTGACTACCTAATTTTAAATCTGGCTTCAATAGCAGGAAGCAGTTTTATTTGGCGGCAGCCAGGTTCAGAGGGCACAGCTTTTGCTGTAATCAATCCATCCCCTGAACCCYGAGTTCAGGGAGTTTCAGAGTTTTATACCCAGCATGTAAGGGGAGGGGCTCAGAAGTTCACAGTCTGCAGAAATTCACATAAAAGCAGCTTTTTCTTTCACTGTTCTGGGCACGTTAACTCTTCAAGGACAACACCAGAGGAGGGGAGAGCTTCTTCTCCCCTTTCTTTCCTCCCCCTGCCAGCTGTTACCATGGACCCAGTTGTAACTTATCTTAAAAATGTAGACATCTCTGTGAAGCCCAGCTCAAGGCCAGAGGCCTTGTTTGCATATTTCTTCAAAGTACTATACTGGATATGTTTGTGAAAACTAGTAAGGGGGTGTCCAGCACCTGGAGTGCTGGTATCTTCTCGGCCAGTGGCCAAGAAAACAGGGTGACACGAAAATAGGAAGTTTATCTACAATGGACTCTTTTGCAGAGACTCTTTCCTGACAGTCCTAAAATCAGCCATGGAGAAGTGGGCTTTTCTGTGGAGAAGGGGGGGTGCCACTTCAAGGTGAGAGAGAAGAAATGAGGCTTGGGTTTGTCTCTTGTGAAATAAAGGGGGTCCAGCCCTAGGCTGGAGTTGCCCCACCTCCGGTCACCTTGTCACAGAGCCCAGGACTCTGGGGCCTTTGAAGAAGGCCACACTGATGCCCCTCTTGAACATCAGGACTGGGTCCTTGTTTCCCACTGTTGAAGATTAAACACCTGAAGCCCAGTGCAGCGGCACACACCTGTAATCCCAGAGACTCAGGAGGCTGAGGCAGGAGGACGGAGAGTTCAAAGCCAGTCTCAGCAAGAGCAAGGCTCTAAGCAACTCAGTGAGACCCTGTCTCTAAATAAAATACAAAATAGGGCTGGGGATGTGGCTCAGTGGTCAAGTGCCCCTGAGTTCAATCCCTGTTTCTAAAAATAAATAAATAAAAATAAACACCAGGGGCTGGGGATGTGGCTCAAGCGGTAGCGGGCATGCGTGTGGCCCGGGTTCGATCCCCAGCACTGATAGACCCAACCTTTCTTAAAATTGGGCATCTCGCCATAAAACCATGAAAAGATMATTTCGGCTTTACTATAAATTACTGCAAATTCTGAACCTACTTGGAATGCCTGCCCGTGCCCTGAACTCACCCAGGTCCGGTTTTCCCTGACCAGATAACAACCCTTTCCTAAACCTTCGTGACGCCTCATAAATTCTGGCCTTCCCTGGCCGGACAATGACCCTCTCTGAGTCTCTAAGATCTCCATAAATTCTGAYGCCGGGGCCAGCAAAAATGTAAACTTGTGTTATGCTCCTCAGAGTGTTGTTATCTGCCCCCCCCCCTTTGTGTAACTTTTTGGGCTATAAAACTGGGCCACAAAGAAGCCTCGGGGCTGTCTTGTTCCCGCCGTTTTGGGAGGGAAAGGCAGCCTGGCCGGTCGAAATAATAAGCTTGCTTTAATTTGATTTTAATTGGAGTCAGTGGTCTTTTCTTGCGTCCTGGTCTAACAGCACCACATACAAACAAAGATGTTGTGTCCGCCGAAAACTAGAAAATAAATGTTAAAAAATTCTCTCTCTCTCTCTCTCTCTCTAAAATAAAGAAGAAACAATAAATAAACACCAGAGAAACTTGGAGGCAAGCTAGAAAGCAAATTTTATTTAAGAGACAGAAGAAGGCGGGGGACTCCTCTTCCTCTGGAGAGGAGGGGACCCGGAAGAGCTCTGGCCCGGGGTCCAGGTGTCTCCCCTTTAGGGATTTCAGGTTTCCTCTCTTCTCGGCCCCCCTCCTATGAAAGGCAAGAAAGGAAGCTCCTAGGGTGCTCATTTGCAGCTCCTGGGGCTGGGGAGAGCTACTCCCTGGAGGCCTCTATCACCTTGCTGGGGGCAGGGAGTGCTCTGGGAGTATTAGCATTTCGTTTCCTTTTCTTTGAATTAGCCCCTTCTTTCCCACTGATCTTTTGTCATCTGCCCTCTCTGTCCTTTGCCCCGTCTACTTCAGTATCCCCATCCCAGGAGGACAGCTCCCTGGCTGGGGTGTAGGAGGCCCGACCTAGCCCTGACCTGCAGCTGACTTCCCCATGGCCCACACCTTGTGCTGTGCAGAAAGCCTGTGCAGGGTCAGCATGGCCGGGGGAGGACTGGGTTTTCCTTACTTCTACACTGTCCCCCGCCACTAGCCACTGAGTATAGATGATATGTGGATCCCCAGAGAGTAGAGCTAGGCCAGGAGGGGATGATGGCCCCACCCAAGTGGATTCTTTATTCATCGTTATTGTTGTCCAGCGAAAAGGACCCCTGTGTGGTCACAAGCACCCTGTCACTAAAGAATAAGTTGAGGGTTACTTTCAGAGATGTCTTGGAGCACCCAGGAGGAAACTGTTGTTAGGCTTGAATTCAGGAACCCCAAAAGACCACCAGAGACTGAGATCGATGTTAGCAGCAAAGAGGTGTTCATTGCGAGCTAGCTCAGTCCTCTGCGTGCACAGCAACTGGTGACGCCGAAAGGCCCCGAGTCCAGGGTTTGCAGCAGTTTTATACACTCTCTGGGGAAGGCAGGGACCCCCACATACATCACAGCATCTCTTAGCAAATCATCACACACCGCGGGAAAATCAAATAACAACTCTAAAACATGATTAGCACATTCACTGGCGGGAAGAACATGTTATCAACCCCCATAAACTACTGGGAGGGTCATCTGGCATCCCAGGTATTTCCCTGTCTCATGCTGATTGGTGGTTGCTAGGGGGTTGCTATGGGTCCCCACCTAGCCCGACTGAGTCAGGGACACCTGGCGCAGCAGATCTCTCCTGTTATTTGTAGATAAACAACTCTGCAGGGAG